CCTCGGCTTCTCCCTGTGTCACCTTCTCTTAGGGTCGTGTCTTATCTGATCGTCAAAGAGTGGATTGTTTTCAGCTCCCTGTGTGAGTCTACGGCATGTAAGAAAATGAGGATCAATGACTAGATAAGATAAGATTCAGTCATGGTATCCAGGTTCAATAATTCACGTTTTGGATGTGTAATGGTGAAAAATATGATTTATTCTTTGTCACCGGGAAGCACATTTCTCCACAGGATTTGCTTGATTTATGACCCTCTACCCACGACATGGTGTCAAGATGACCTTTTGTAATTTGTATGTAATATGACATGATATCTCCACTGTAACACAGGTGCAATAACACAGGTGGCAGTGTGAAGAGCACCCACCCACCCTTGTGAAGTGGAGTGGCGAAGTGCTCTGATTTCTGCAAATTCTCAGCGAAATGTATAGAAGTGAATTATAATTCATACACCCTCTATTTGCCCTTGTGCATTGAAATAATGGCATCTCTGTTAATTCATTTATATTCTTAAAATAGTTTACATTTTTTAATATTCATTTTTTCCCCCCTCAAATTTTGGTGGCCCGTTTAACTTGGCGTCTGCTCCTCCTGGATACGGACAGGCTGCCCATGGTGTCTGCCAGCACGTCTCGCCGCTAACCTAACCTGACTGGTCGTTTCATTTCATGTCTGTTTCGTGCTTACTGGCCGGCACAAATTGCATTATGCGATTCCAGCAGAAATATCAGACTGTAGCTTAGCAAACTTGCACAGACGTCTGCTGTAAACTGGGGCAAAGGCATAAATAGATGATCTTGTTTACCCGGCAGCATAATGAAAATGCATCGGAGGGTTTATACTTAGGTCAGTGATTTCCACAGATCTGCATTGCAATCATGAACTGGGTTCTCCAACTACTGTACACGTGCTCCTAGTAAAGATTAAATACTTCCACCTTACATATATGCTATTCATATGTAGGTTCAGGTGTCCCTCGTGAGAATAATTCAGGTACTTTCCTGTATTGTTGTTTAATTTTTGTATGAAGAGACACAGTGCATCTAATTTAATTAATCAAATGACCAACCACCAAAACCTACTGAAAACCTTCCTTCAAGAAATTCCTCGGCAGTATTTGCGCTGCTACGTAAACTCCTTTAAAGCCCATGCGTTGTTTAACACCGTGCTTATCTCTGACCTCTGCAGGTAAAAATCTGTGCGCTGTTACGGATCACAGATGTGAACACATGTGCATCAATACCCCTGGCTCTTACATGTGCAGATGCAAGAAAGGGTACACTCTGAACCCCGATGGGAAGACCTGCAAAGGTGAGCCTCCTTTCCTAGACCTCTGTACAGCTCAGGGAGCCCCAGCACACCCTGAAGTCACTAAACGGAATCATAGCATTGTCTTCTTAATTGAGGTAAGACAATTTAAGATAATGGAATACAGGTAAGGGCAGTAGAATGACATAAGGGCAGCAAGGTGGTGTATTGGTTAGCATTACTGTCTCACATCGCTGGAGCCCTGGGTTCAGTTTTGGACCTGAGGTGCTACCCATGTGGAGTTTGTATGTTCTCCCCATGTTCATGTGGACTTTCTCCCTCAGTCCAAAGACATACTGGTCGGTTAATTGGCTTCTGGAAAAACCAACCCAGGTGGGAGTGTGTGTCTGTGTGTGCCCTCCAATGGGCTGGCGTCCCATCCAAAGTGTATCCTGCCTTGTGCCTGTTGCTTGCCAGGATGGACTCCGGCTCCCCCGCAGCCCTGTCCTGGATAAAGCAGTTTGAGAAGGGATGGATGTGAGGGTGGTTCCAAGGAATTTCAGCTGCATCAGGCGCATAATGGAGTTCTGTTTTCTGCTTCTCCAAACTTACTTTCCACTGTGGTTGTGCTTTAATTTAAAAAAAAAAACACAACAGTACAAGTATGAGCTGTGTACTGAACACCGGCAAAAGTATTCTGTCATGATGGGCTGTGCTACTTAACAGATTTAATTTATTTTGTTCACTGGTCAGTACTGCTCTTTTCACTTAAGCTTGCAATGCTACATTAGAAGAACTGAACCCCTTCTGGGAAGCATTACTGTTGACTGTTCCTGTGAAGAACAGATTAGGTACACTTGCAGTCTGCTTTCTTACTGCTTTTTCCTGTTATTAAGGTACAGGCAAATATGAAACATTGTACCTAAAGGGTAACAAGCTATCTGCTGGAAACATGCTTGCGTTCCAGAGTTTATATGAAAGTGAAGTTTTATTGACCTCTTCAAACCCCGAGCCGGTCATTTCCATAGCCTGTTTGCTTTAGACCTTCAAGGCTGATTTACTATTTCGTGAATGGCAGAGCACACAAAACAACCAGTGCTGTTTCAACAGACATAAGAAGTCGGGGCCCCGAGAAAGTGGGACAGCAGAGGCGGTTCATGCGGTAGTAATGAAAGCGATGGTTTTGAAATCTTCCAGCTCAGGATCTGTGTGCTGTGGTGGACCACGGCTGCCAGCACTACTGCGTCAGCCTCCCTGGCTCGTATGAGTGCCGCTGTCGCGGAGGCTACCAGCTCAGGGAGGATGGGAAGACCTGCAGCAGTAAGTGTTTGAAGCCCTCTTTATTGTCAGGCTGAGGAGAACGATGCTCTTTTTTCTTGGTGTCCACTAACAACATCTTGTACATTCTTCTGCACTGTTTCAGAATGATCTTACAATGGAGATTTTGTTTTTTTCATAGGCTTGCTGTAAAGCTCAAGGCAGCACAACTGTATATTTGGAGAGATTTTGCATGTGTAGTGGTTTTCCTGTTTTGTGGTGTTTTTTTTGGGTTCGGTAACATACAGTCCCTGTGGTGGCCGTTATATTTAATTGTGTGGACCTCGTTTCTGATAAGAACCCTTTATTCCGCAATGTTTGTCCTTGAGGCCTCATGTGTGTTTAAAGTCGTAAAGGGATGCCGGAGTGAAGGTGGAGCTCTGGAGCTCGCAGGTTTGAGCCTGAGTCATGTCACTAGCCGACTGTGACTGGTAGTGCCGAAGCTGCCTCTCAGGTGCTTGCAGGCATGCGAGGTGTAGGTAAAGGATGTACCTCCCCTCCACTCAGCACCTCCAGTATGGGCTGTGTTGCCTGTGATGCATCAAAAGACAATTGTCTCAAAGGTGGGAGGGATGGAGGAGTCTGTCTTCACTTCATTATCATCCCATCCAGGTGGGATTGTATCCAGACTGGGTGTGTATGACAATAATAACTGGGGACTCTAAAATTGAAAATGCAGTTTTATTCAATTCGAAGGAATGCAACACGCTTGACAACGCTACCTGCTTACAGACTCCAGAAGGCTCGAGCAAAAGGTAGAATGTATTTTTTCCAGTTCTGTATTGATTCGAACTGCATAAATACATACTGTATCAATTGTGGTTAGTTGTGATGCAGTCAGTTTGCCTAAAATGACATAGACTCTCTTTACAATAAGTGTGCCTGTGGTGTATTTTACTGTTTAATGAAGCACGCACATGTTTCTCATTTCACATCTCGGAACAAGTAGCACAGGAGTTCCTCTGGCACAAGTAAAATGTCCTTGAAGCTGAGCTTTTCCTTATGTTTTGTCTTCAGTTCTGGGCTGCTGGATAAGTCACTTGATACTTGTCTCTGTGGCTCTGACACTGGAGTTCAGATCTGATGCAGCACATTTGATTACAGCCTGAATTACACCTGGTTTTGTAAATGTTTACAGAATGAGTTCAGGAGATTTAATTTTGTTTATCTATAACTATGTATAGAGGTCTAAGACATTTTGTTTTTCTAAATCATGAAGTTTTCACTTTTTCACGTAAACCCCCGGTCTTAAACAAGCCCAGGAGCTGTTAGAAAGAGAGCAGGATGGCTAAAGCATGTGTTCTTTTGGAAAGCTCTCCAAGCTGTGAAATTACAGCAGTTAAATTACAAAAGCACAGCTGCTGTATATATACATCTGTATTATTACCACCTGTGTCATTTCATTTACTCCTACAATAACTAGCTTTTGGCGGTTAAATGGATCAAAATAAAAAAGAAAACCATGGCCAAAGGCTTAAAAACACTTTAAGCAATATATCTGTGGCCCAATTGGTGGGAGCATTCCTTGGCATAAGCATGTTACTTACTGTATATGTTATTACAGTTCTGAAATTAAAAAGTGCAGGATGCATATTCTCACAAAATAAATTAGGCTGATCTTCTATTTATACTTATTCCTATTTGTTTTGTTTTATTATTTATAGTAGCATTTTTATGAAAGTCTAGAGGACGATTCACAGGAGAAATATGAGCCAAGTGGTCTCCTCTCACATGACCTTTTCCTGTCTTCTTTTGTAAATGATCATGCGGGCAGAAAGCTACTTCATTGTTTTCTAATGCGTGTACACAATGTGTGTGTATGAGACTGAACGGAGGTGATATTGTGCGCTTTGCATTCCAAGCTCAAAGGGGAGTGCACCATGCAGGACCAGAAACTCATGCAAGATATGGATCACATTTATCATCTTTATACACATTTATATTATATCACATCACCGTGATTACCAGTTTCTTGCTTTTGAACTTTTAAAATCAGTTGTGGTCGGTTTGAGTTTTATTTTGAGTTCTAAACGGGCTGCATTGAATTACTGTTCATTTGTCTTTTATCTAAAGTGGCTGGCATTTTTCCAGGTTTATGCAGCCGAATATGTATTTTTTTACTGAAGCGATCTGAGTCAAGCAGCCTGCCTGAGGCCAGAGCAAGCTAAAGCACCATTGCCCTGCAGCCTTTCGGTTATACATCAGCACAAGGAACAGACTATGGTAGGAGGTGTGCAGGGTGTGCTATCCACCCCTGGCCTAGTATCTGTCTGCTCACTGGGGTAGGGGGAGATCCCTCCTGGTCCTCCTGTTTACATTCAAGGATTCCTCTGCCTGCCCCGGGCTTAAGGGTCTTCGATCTGTTGATTTACTGTCTCAACATGTTTAATGGATGAAAGCCTGGAAACAAGTGTTACAGAGGTATCCCTGGTGGAGTCATTTGATTTAAAGGTCATTCTGCCATTTAAAGCAGCGTGACTTGGTTTTCAGCAAATGGGCTTGTAAACCGGCAGCTGGTCTGCGCCCAGGAAGACACACACAGCTTGTGTTTGTTCTCTCATTGTCTCCTCCTTTTTCAGTGTCATTCACATCCTGTTCTTGCTTCATATAACGAATCTCCTCCACTGGTGTTACTAGGAAATGGAAATGCCTGCGGTTTAACAGCCTTTCCTACTGTGGCATGATTAAAAAATTAAAAAAAAACGATTGACTTGACCAGGTAGCCGATCGACGATCAAAGTGACAGTTTTTACGATCAAGTGAATTTCAAGATTTCTGTAATTGTCTCTGTGACCTTTTTCAACAATGGCATTAAACAAAGTGAGATCTAATGATCCCTCAGAACCGTGCTGAGACTGGAGGGGTTTTTAATGCACCAGGGTATGAGGTTTCCTTTGCCTGCCTGTTGGAGCAAGTCTGCGCTGTTCCTATTACAGCCCACATTTGGAGATTGTGGAGTTTAGGGGCTGGAGCTGGGGGATCTGTCCTAGAGACTTCCTGTACACCCATGTGGTTTTTACATTGCAGCAGTGACGTCCCGCGGCTGGAGGGGTGGCAGGTTTCAGCTAACGTCTTTTTCCGTCCCTAAGAACTGCACTGGTTTTGCTCACATTGAAGAGCTCGTTTCATACTGGTGGGGAAGATTAATTGTTGAATACAGCAACTAAGCACACATGATCAGGCACTAAACTTTCATTTAAGATTAGGGCAACTTACAAATAATACATAAAGCAAATGCAATAAAGAAATCCTTAACATATTGCAAAAAACAATTACTGTAAAATATTTTTAAGGAAAGAATAAGTAAAAACAGTTGAGGACAAAAACAGTGAGGCTAGTACATGTTATGAGTGCAAAGCCTGTGCAGCACAGTGTACATGGAGGAGTAAACAGTATGTAATAATAATAATTATAATAATTGCTTACACTTATATAGCGCTTTTCTGGACACTCCACTCAAAGGTTTACAGGTAATGGGGAATCCCACTAACACCACCAATGTGCAGCATCCACCTGGCAAGGGGTAGTTGATTATTTCAGTAAAGAAGGGATGCCTTTGAGCAGAGTTCATGGCAGAGTTAGAGAGATCACAGTGGTGGTCTATATTGATGAGACGCAAAAGGATGGTCAGGACGGGACTGAGCAGTTTTGATTTCAAAGGGGTGTCCATTCTCCCACTGCAGAGCCAGAGACAGGAAGTCACCTGGAGGAGGGAGGGAATGGAGGGGAGAGGTTGGGAAAGACTAGGTGTCAGAGGTGTTAAGTCAGCGGTCAGTGAGAATAAGCCGCTTTGAAACAGCGGCATGCAGCTACAGCGAGCCAAGGGGGAGACGGGCGGGCCTGGCGGGAGGAAGGTGCAGCAGTCTGTCCAGGTGGGAGAGCAGCCTGAACCTGGAATTGTGCGCACAGGTTTGCGAGGAAGGGGAGGTTCCTGCTCGGGCAGCAATTACTCGAGAAGCAGTAGTGGGCTGGGGCAGACATGTGATGGGAATAGGAGAGAGAGCAGTCCAAAGGAACACAGATGGAGAGGTTTGACGGAAAGGGAAGAAAAAATGGAAGGAAGAGAGTGCATCTTGGCGGAGTTGGCTGTAAGACGGGCATTAAGACAAGAGGAGAAAAGGGTACCGGAGGAAAGAACTGAAGAAGAAGATCATTTGCATTGAAGTGGTATGAAAAGCCGGGGAGAGGGTCCTGAATGCACATGGTAGGTTTGTGGCCCGGGAACAATGAGGAGATGTCAGTGTTGGAGAGAGGTCTGGAGGAAGAGAACGAGGGAGGGTCGGTGGAGGACTGAGACAGTGGAGGGCGAGTGGGCTGAGGGTGAGGATGGAGGAAGGGATGAAGCGTTTGCAGATGTCAGTGAATGTGGAGGGGATGAGGGCAGCAAAGTCATCAGCTGAGACAGAGGAAGGGGGAGGATGGTTGGAAAGGAATGATAATGTAGAGAAGAGTTTCTGCAGACTGCCAGTGGAAGACTGGGTGATTGGTAATAGGATGATTTGGAAGAAGCGAGAACTGAAGAAAAAGATAAGCGAAGGGAGTGGTAGGGGTCTAAGGCACATAGCAGGTTAGATCTCCTCCATTTACTGTCAGCTGAACGCAGATTGGATCTGGCTGTGAGGAGCAGGCAGGGCAAGAGACAGGTGGACAGAGGGAGTGACGAGATGAGGTAAGCAGCGAGAAGAGACTCCCGGCCAACATGTGCTGTCATTGCAGGGATTGACTACTGTGCCCTGGGGACCCATGGCTGTGAGCACGACTGTGTGAACACTGTGGACTCCTACATCTGCAGGTGCCGCAGGGGCTTCATCCTCAACTCCGATGGAAAGACCTGCCGGAGTGAGTGTGGTCAACTCGTGCATGAAGCCCATGCTAACTGTGCCCACAGCAAATACATACTTACTGTCCCACCTTGAGGCGCAGGGTGCAGCAGGCACAGTTTTACACCTGTTGTTGGCATGTTGTATTTAGGTGTTATGAAGTGCATAACAATGCCGTAAACAGCGTGGAATTGTGTTGAGTTATGTCATTAACCATCTGCTAAGATGATGCACGTAGAGCCTGTATCTAATGCACCGCAGTCTAGAAAAGAAGGCTGAGGTCAACCCTTGGTCAACATTTTGGAAGGGTCCACTTTAAAACTCAGAGCCATCCATTAGGCTGTACATGGTGTTGGAGGAGTTCTTGGCAGGGAAATGGAGGATCAATCCCATATCCAACTGCAAGGAATAGTTGTCATGTTCTTGCTCTCCTTTTTATTTATTTATTTTATTTATTTATGATCTTTGAATTTCATGTAGAAGATGTAAAGGCAGTTGCTTGATTGTGGCCATTTCTTTCAAATCCATTTGACCTGTCAAATCTCTGTGACCCTTCATGGTTTTCCTGCCGGACTAATATTACTCTGACACCAGTGGCAGGTGCAGAGCTGCCTATCAGTGAGAGGTTGTGTGTGGTGCACAGTGAGGCCAACTCGTGCAACATGATTTGATGTGTATCTGATTCTTCTGATGACTTGACCTGGGTGCTGCCCCTGTTCCCTCACCTTCAGGAGAAGACCTCTGTGCGTTGGGCACCCATGGCTGTGATCACAAGTGCGTTAACACTGCTGACTCCTATGTCTGCCGCTGTCGCCAGGGTTACAGGCTCAATCCAGATGGAAAAACGTGCAAAGGTAATTTTCTACTGCGGGGGATGGGGTGTGTCAGTTGGTTGGAGGAGGGGCAGGTCTGTGCCTTATGCTCACCCACAAAGCATGTGGAATTCCTGAGAAAAAAGCACTGTACCTTTTCTCATGAATAACATCATAACATTTTGGGTCCTGAATTAAGGCCAGATTTCTCCATCTTCCATTACAAAAATACTTTTCAATTGAATGTCTATATTTACTGATTCTCCATTGGTTGCACTACTAGACAAACTTCAGTATCTTCCCAAGGTTCATGTTTCACCGACTTGTAAATTATATCTAGTGCAAGATGGTTAAGAGAATTATAATTCCTATTATACTGAGGTGTTTATTGTAGTTCTATAATAGATTATCAATATATTGAAAAGTAATAAACAAAATTATCCAATGCAAAGAAACCATTGCAATCCACTGAATGGCATTGAACGGGGTTTTAATGTTATCTTAAGGAGTGCATTCGAATGTACCTTTCACAGCATCTGCTGACTAATGTTTCCCACTTCAGAGATTGATCACTGTTCTCTGGGCACCCATGGCTGTGATCACGAGTGTGTTAACACTGAAGACTCCTTTGTGTGTAGATGCCATGAAGGCTATATGCTCAACCCTGATGGCAAAACCTGTAAAAGTAAGTTTTTTAATTGACCACATTTCTGTTCACAACTGTACTGCAGAACACAAGCAATTGTAGCACCGTAACGTGTCAGTAAGTTGCCTGGAGGAGTAGTTTCTCTAAGGCTCCTCATAATTGAATTATACGAGCACTGCCAGAACTTTTGCAGTTCTGTATGAATTTTAACTCAAACTATATGATCTTCTCAGAGTCACAGAGTACAAACAATGTCCATTAAAGTGCAAATGCAAAACCCATCCCTAGTGAATCATCCTTACAGTGGTATTAGAGATGAGAAAGCACCAGGTATCCCAGCAACTCTTTCTTTCAACTCAGTCTTTCAAGATGAACCTGGTTGTTCTAATCTTGTACCTAGATTTGAGTTCTTAGTGCTGATTTTGTTTAAAAAAAAACGTCTCATGTAGGGGACTTCTAACAGACCTGATGTTTTGCAAACTATAACAATACCACACAGAGCCTTCAAATGAGAAAACAACGGCCATTCAGGAAGCCCAATATTTTAAACTCATGTATTCGTCCTCTTGCCAAGTGGAGGTAAAAAAGTGGGAGCAGAACATACTAGGCTGTGACCAACACTGGCATACACTCTGC